GAATCCACGGCTCTGTTACGGATCGTATTGCCGGGAAAGTGTAGCAGGCATTTTTGGCTTACTAGCCATCCTCAGCCCGTCACACCTAACCACAAGTGCTGCACCCCCGGGGATCGAACTCGAGACCTGTTTGATCAAAGTCTAACGCCTCGGGTGGGGCAGCACTTGGAGTTGGGTATCACTGGCTGATTTATCTTTCTTTCTCCCTGGTTCTGCTTCCTTTTAAGGCTTCGAGTTGAAAACGGCAAACAGAAACCCAGTAAGTATAGCGTTGAGTTAAGTTATTTTTCTTTGTAACCTCTGGGAACTTTCCTTCACACCACATCGTGAGCCATAACTTCTGCGAAAATCTTTACAAAAGATTTCAAGTGTTTTGCAGCCGTATATTTTCACTTTGGATGTAGGGTGTTTGTTCGTCTATCTATATATATCGTTTTCGGATTTACGACCCTATATTTGTGCAGGTTCGAGTTTAATAAGTAGCACACCTACCCCCGTGTTCACCATATGGGAAGACAATAGTAGAATATCTCGCCTCCAATTTTCAATAACAAACATCACTTTTCACAATATCTAAATCAAATTGTGCATTTTTGTCTTTTTTCGGTTATTCAAACAAGGATCGGAATATAAAATACCATTCGAGAGGTCAATATCAGGATATAAGTGGATTTTTTAAGGTGGTTCATTCAATACGTACTTTAGATGCCAACAGATGGGAAACAGCATAAGAATATCTCACTCCCAATCTTCAACAACAAACATCGCTTTTCTAAATATCTAAATAAAACTTTCCATATTTCTCTTTTTTCCTGTTATTCAAGCAAGTATCGGAATATAAACTACCACTCAAGGGGTCAATATCAAGATATAAGTTAGGTGGTACCTTTAATACGTACTTTCAATGCCAACAATAAATGATTTTAAGTCAGTTAACATACACTTTCTCCAGCTATATTAAGGTCGATATCATTTTTACCCTATTTTAACACAAATGCGTTCAAATGGTGAGAACAACGTTTATAGGAACACGCTTTTTGCACAGAGTGGTTAATCTTTGTGTTAACTATAAAATGTAAGGAACTTGTGGACGTTACCGGCTAATGAACGAACATACTCTTATTGCATAAGGGCTAGACGTATATTTCGCCCCTTATGCAAAAGCACTAGGATATTTAATACGATTTGTTAATTTTTGAGTGATTTAAGATTAAGGAAGTGATGTGTCACATATCTGTAAGTAGATATTTTTAGGTGATAAAATAGATGTAAGATTACCTTCGATGTTTGTTATCACGACTGAGGAAATGTACACTGCCCCGGTAGCTCTAATGGAACCAAAAACAGGAATCCAAATATTTGAAATTTTAATCGCGATTCAAGTTGATAATTTCTTAAAGTTTAGACTTTAAACACTTTATATCTGTAAAGTGCAAGGTTGAAGATTTTTCCAAAGGTTTGCTACTTACATCCGAAAAAAACTAAGGTAATGAATGCGTTGTCTATGCAGGTTTCGTGAGCAGCCGATCAGACATGCATTCAGTAATCCGCCAAATAGCAGACAAATTGCCTCAGACGGATGATTCTACTGAGCGCTGAATTCGTTCTTTCGTGTTTTCAAGGTTTAAACATATCTTTATTAAACTTTTTTTTACTTGGGTTACTACGATGCACGCTCGACACACGCACCCTAGAGCATTAAATCTAAAAACAACCACAAACTTACAACAGAATCAATTTAAACGCACTAGGGTCAGTTTTGTGAGGAAAGTGCACTGCAGTGACAATAACGAAATGTTTATCTTATATTTCATCTAAACAACCGAACTTAAGTCGCTGCTTTGATTTCGGACCCTAGATTAACTGCGCACATCTTTCAGACATATGCGTATGTTTCAAGCTAAAATTGTTAGTGGTTTTTACTATTGTACAATTTTGCAGAAATGAAAAAATACGCCTGTTTCTGTTGACATTATTGGTAACCGAAATTTAACAACTGATTTAAAGATAATATTCCAATTTTGAAGTAAATGGACTTGGGTGACTGCTGTGTCTCGATAAGGAGTATACAACTAAGAATACGCAGTGCGTCATCCTTCTATGATTTGATTACTTATCTTTTGGTTTTAAGTTATACATACATCATGAAAACATAACTGATATTTGTCAGAGTGTAACATCTTTATATTCTCATATTTTGTGGGAAATATGCTCACTACTGCAGATAGTTCTACTCTTTAGGTAAAAGCAGTTATACCCTAGTCGAGTTTTTCGCACAAATATATGAACCGCTTTCCCCTTCTCTCATACGGGGCTATCCATCTATAAGTTTTTGCCCAAAATGTACGTACGTTACCCCTGTTTCCCTGCAGCTTGTTTCTGTTTGCGAAAAATCAATAATTTTGGCACCTTTGCCTTGAGTTAAGTTTTTCCTTATATAATTTTGAGTGGATTTATCCAAATGGGAAATATGCAAAATAGTTTATTACACAGTCTCATTCTGGCTTTATCTTATATTTCATGTTTTTGATGAATGCAAGTTTTCCTTAATTTTATCAGTCGACATTTCCCTTTATGACTTGTTTTCTTAATAGAGTTATGAAGAGAGGTGGTTGACTTACTATGAAATGCTGAAATGTTTTCTTCAGCAGCGGGTAATACGATGCCAGAAACAAGAGTTTTATTGGCCAGACATTTCGGATTCTCGCTCGAACACATCGTCCAAAATAATCGAAAAAAAGGATGCATTGTTTCGCACTATAAGTTTGTTTAGTTTTTGACATATTAGGAGCTCTCTCATGGTCTACTTTGTTTATGCATTAATGGAGGGAGTATGCAAAGGCGTTTTACGGCTTAATACCAAAAAAATTGGTATAAAATTCGTTGATGAGTGCTCACAGGTCGCTAATAGAACTTACTTGTCCCGTTCTACCATGTGGCTTACTGTCGAGCTTGACAACAGCCACACAGCGGCTAGAATATTACGGACAAAGACAATGGCCATTTCTGGCTCTGTTGCCGTGGGGGTTCATCAACGAATATCAATGTTCCGGCAGGACAAGGAGCCCGTGAAGCAATGGTTAGAGTGTTCGACTTCTGATCAACAAGTCGCGGATTCGAGCCCCCTGTGTGACTAGCTGATGAGGACTAATGAACCATAAATGGCCATTTTAATCTTACCGTGGCCAGTAATTATTAAATGTATAAATGCACATATATATTTGTTTTGCTTACATAGGTTAGAGAGTGTGCAATATGTGGCGATTTAAGTCAACCATCCCAACATGTAAAAGCTATAAAATATCGGCAAAGATGAATTGTGATGACCTAGCCGTTGACCTATCTTGGGGGAAGTTGGCGTGATCTCCGCCTGAACTTCCGTGTAAAATAGCAAATGAAAGCTATGCATTCGCATAAGTAGAAAGTAACAAATAAAATCCCTTTTACAAAGGGAATATGCCATCGCTGGAACCAGAAATGTACTGGTCTGAACTTGCGGATTCTAGTTCGGACCGATAATCAAATATAATCGCCTATATAACCTTTCGCTGCGATTTTCTCTGACAATGGGTTCTAGCGGGAAACCTGAACGTCAGACGAATAAACTTCTCGTTTAAACGACCGCATCTGCAGCTTCTAAACTGTGTCCTAGGACTCGCGCGTTCGCTCTTATCATTGACTGTCTTTTTTTTCAAAAAAAGTCCCATTTATATGTAGAGCTACAGCTCATAAATTAAAAGAGTGAGCGGCCCATAAACTTTTAGCGATTTACTAAGTTCTCATCTGGCTTGCAAAAATTCATAAACTTCGCAGCTGAATTCTACTTTTCACCAATAATAGCTTTCATTGGATCATCTTCTGGAATAAGATCAGCAAGTTAGATAATTTGTTGTTAACTGGTTAACTGGAATTTTTTAAAAGAATATGTAAATAAATGTTCCGCTATGTGCTCTGTTTGAAATGCTTTTTGAATTAACAGTAAAATATATCAACGGGGCACTGCTGAATATCCCAACAAAGCAATATTTGGCTTCACTTCTTTTCATTTCCATCGGAATATTAGCGAAGCACGTGCATAAAGTGACAAGTCGTGCTCAGGAAAAGGTTCCAAAATAGTATCCTGTTAGATGTAGCAGCTGACTGTAGCTTGTTTTGCCTGAGTAGCAAAGTTATAAAATAAGTGGCTGTTTGCGTAGGCGTTGCAGTTAAAATGAGCTTTAGACAAAACCTTCCCACCACGTCCAAATTGTGAGACTAAGGCTGGCCTCACTAGGTGTAATCATCAAACAACCATACGCCAAGGTGTACAGTAACAGAGTCATTGCTGTTATTGCGATTGGTTTCAGCGGGCGAAATTTTGTCAGCCTTTGGTGGCGCAGAAACTATTGTTGCACAGATAAGGTCATGTCCGAAACTATTGCAAATGTGTATGCTATTGCAGGCATACTTCAGTTACCGGAGCTTTAGCTCTCATCGACGCATTTTTTTGAAATTTATATCCGGCGAATAAAAGTAGTTGACTCTCTTTCCTGCCCGGAAGTCGTGCTAAACAAAAGCTTTATTAAAGTAGCATAAAGCAAAAACAATCCTCTTATGTGTGTTTGTGGTTTAACTGTGTGAAGTTGTTTTTAACATCCGAATGAACTTTTGCAAAGTCTACCGCAGTTTTCTACAGAAGTGCCGCCAGCCGTTCTTTCGTAGACAGTTTGTTTGATGTCGACAATCAGGAATTTGATGCAAACTATTTGAGAAAAATATACACGGTTAGTAGTTGTTTGCTGTTATTTGGCTCCACAAACTTTACATTTGAAAGTTTGTGTACAAAGTGGTTTTCGTAAGTTAACTGGGCGCAATGAGTTAAATAAATAATCTGGCAGCCGTTGACCAAAAAGAGGACAACCTTGTTTGAGTTCATCTTCTGCTCAACGAAATAAATTTGTAGGTTTGCTAACTTTTCGGACAACTGGTCCGGCTGTGTTTGGTCGAAGCGAATACTGACTTTATCGACCAGCGAACTTCAAGTTGTGGCTGTACGTGTTGGCCTTGGGTTGGTCGATTTTCTCCGTTCGCTGTTTGGCCCTGCATGTGGATTTTGGCTTGGCCTGAGGGCAGTTGGTGTTCTGTTTCGTCTCCACGTCAGAGAATGCTGGGAATCCTATTCCCTCTTCCGGTGGTTTCGTTACAAGACCGTCTTCGTCTGCAAATCCCGACTTCGTTTTGACCGTGTCCTGTTCTTTACTTTCGTAATGGCGTAGGACGTTGAAGGCCGCGGGCAGGTCCAGATGCCTGTTGACAGAGTTAGCGTCTGAGTACTATGCCTCAACCGTCAAACTTTCAGCTTTTGAAACTCCTTGACCTACGATGGTCGTTCCTTGAATATCGAAATCATGGCCAGTCTCTCCGATATATGTTGCGAGCTGCGAATTGGGGTCTAGACTACGGGCCACCGCTTTGTGTTCCTGTAGGCGGGTCTGCAATGTGCGCCCTATTTCTCCAATTTAATTACAGTCTCCATCTTTGCAACGTATTTTGTAGTCAATTGTGGAGGTTTCACTAGGGGGCAGTTTGCCTTTAAGTTTGATCACACGGCGGCGTATTGTAGCCTGAGGTCGGTAGACTCTGCCTACTCCAGCGAGTCATAACAGTCGAGAGACTGCTTCGGAGACCCCCTTTGTGTATATCTGATGAAGTGTGAAGATCAAAATTTGAGTGGGGGATTTAACACATATTTGTGGTTCTTCCTTTTGTTCATTGACGGAAAATGCTGTTTACTACAAGAGAGTTCACTTCGGATCGGTATAGTGCGGGCAGAATGGGGCCAAATGAGGTCAACTTCAACGTTTGTTTATATGCAAGGCAGCTCCTCCGTTGCTAAATGCTGCGGATCAAAGCTCCTTCTTTGTGCGTCTTGTGTGATAAAGGAAGAAGACACTTATAAAGTGTATAAGTTCTGAGAATAAATAATTTTGTTTTGCTTTCATGAAATTGAGGTAAGGGGAGTTATGAGATAACGCATTATTGTTTGGAAAAGAAGAGTGTACTCAGTTTAGAAAATGCTATTTTGCAAATCTGCTAAGTTTTTTTGCCATAAAAGGAAGCACTAATCTTATAAGGCTGATATTTACTTTATCCCACCAAAAATAACGACTGTAAGCAAACATGTTTACCAATTCCCAAACATTCCGTCGACTTTCTCTGTCAAGCCGCGTGCAAACTATGTCCAAACATTTTTTACAGAGCAGAATCAGTGAATAGAAACGGAAGAAGGAGAAACGGACAGAAGATTATTAGTGTTCTCAAAATCGTCGATGATATTCTGCCCCACTGCTCTGATTTTTTATCTTAGAATTGAGGCTAGGAGAAAATAAATATACTGAAAACGGTTCCTGTACGCAGGGGAGTGTGTGTTCTTTTATGTTCAGCAAAAGATGTATCCCTTATTTTTAAGGAACTCAAAAAGCTGGCAAAAATGTCCCATGCTGATCTTGACTTTATCTTCAAAAAAATATAGTACGCAGGCATTAGAGGCCAAAATCTCTAAATAAAGCAAATTTTCAAGAAGTAACTTGTTAAAGAAAGTTTTTTAATTAATCTTAGGCATAATTATTCGCGTTTTTTTTGTGGAAGTTCATTTTCCAGAGCAATGAGTTGATATGTGTGACTGATTCTAAATCCATGACTCAAACAGACAGCTGAATAAGAAAGCGTGTTAACAAATTTGTTATGTAGGTGAATGCTTTTAAGAACTATCTTATTTTGAAGGTTTTAGTAAGCACTGGCATATTATCCTTATATATAGTCAATCGACTGAAACCAGTGAAAATCTTAAAGTGTTAATTGCTATTTCAAGAATGATCTCAACCTCGTCGTAACCAAAATACCAAAATAATTACCAAGGAATGTGGCGGAAGGAAAGTTATCTTGATGCACAAAAAATGATACGTTTGCAATTGCACCTGGCAATTCCATTTAAAGTTATTAGTCACTGACTGGCATCTCAGCAAGTGCGCTTACGAAATATCTTACTCTTGTGACGTCGCAATCGGAAAAATAAAGCGTAACTCAAACAGTATATAAACGAAAGAAACAAGTAGCAATTCTCGTGAAACCGTTTTGGAATATATACTCGAAATTTGAGCTATTCGGTAACAGCTATACATTACATCGCACGTAATATTGAAACATAATTATCCAAACATTTTACAAAACGATTATTTCCCAACGGAATTCTTCTTGTGCTGCTTTATTTATTCGTTCCATTTGCATGAACAGTCTTCCCCTACATTTAAAACTTAAGTTTACCTAGTACACCTATTTCCTCTTTTTTGGAATTTTCTGTTTTGCTAAAAAAAAAGCTGATATTTCTAAACAACATGATGTTACTTTTAAATTGCAACATGTCTTATTGTGAAGAACGACCATTACTTTATTGCTTTATGACTCTGCGGGCCGCAGCTTGGCCTGCGTTTTAGTAGCTGGGAGCTACTTTTAAATATCCTAGGGTTTCATGACTTAGACCACCTAATGTAGTTTCAAGGTGTGAATTTCCTTTCAAAATATGCATAAACTGGTTGCCATTTTGAATGCCTAAATGTATCAATTGTATCCTCACAGTTGTAGACAAATGCCGAAGTTTTCGCACATCTGAACAAGAGACTTTTTCTCGTCTTATTTTATTCTCTTAAGGTAAGAGATGTACCGAGATGTGAACATCTTCCTGGTGCATAGTCATCTAGTAATTTTAACCTGTCCAGACTGAAGCAAATTGAGTTCTTGTCTCGACTGCATTAGCCCTTGTCTGTCTAACTTGAAGTAAGATAATTTTATCACGAATTTTCTGTTGCTTTCCGTACTATGTCCGTAAGCGGTAATACTAGCTGAATTTTCGTTAATCTCGCATAAGACCAAATACTATTCATTTCAGCCAAAATGTTCAAAAAAGATTTTTACAAATGTCATAACATTGATTATCGTGAACTATACAGGGCTCTCTTTGTGATGTTTGAACTCTGAGCAACTTGGATGCCACTTCCTAAAAATATGCATGTTTTACGTTCTGCGGCATGGGATGCAAATTGGGGTCAATAAACGTAGATAGGCGGTTATATATGGGATGGCATTGTTCGCATCGGTAAAATGCACTTCATACGACGCAATGAACTCTATAAAATGAAAACTTTTCCTTATTTTTTACGTTCTATTTTTGATTACTCAAATCTTGCAGCAGTTATTGAATTTATTGAAATGATTCTGTCAAAACACAAAGAAAATCCTAAATTAATAAGAAGAATTTCCCAATCGCCCAAGATTTACACTGCTTTTAGGACAAAAGTTGAGTGACCTTTGGCGCTCAGAGTCGTTGATAAATGATCTGTGGATGGGCAAATGCACCCTTTAGCTATTAATCTGATTGTACTTAGGGTCAATCTTACAAAAAGATTCTTTCAAATTATATTTACTCAAGAGCACAACAAAGTTTTCCATGTGTGCCAAATTATTGTAAAAAGGCGTTTTTATCAACGCTGCTATGGTGTATGCTTAGATTGGCTGCTGAAAAGAACCGTAAAGTTAATGTGCTCTACCGAAATACAAGCCAGGTTAAGGCATGGCATGCTTACATACATGCATGCTCGTCCATAGCATATGTCAGGCAGGGAAGTTTGGTGGCACAGTTAGTCACATGCTCAGACCACGCAAGTCACCTGTGCCCGATTGTCGTTTTCGTCCATGTAGGCGTGGAATGATGGTGTGTAATAGAGGCTACAAAAGTCAACCATCATTGTAAACGTAATCGTCTCTGCTATCAATGGTTAATTACTGAACATATTTGCGTGTTCGTGGGAGCAGCATCAAAACTGCTGCTGCTCAATATGTTAAAGAACTCTATTGAGACGTGATGCTAACCTTGATAGAATTCAAGGGCTTTACCTTTGATGGCCAATTTTTTATGGTGAAGGAGACGACAACAAAGTTTTGTTTCCTCGATCGACTGCGAAAGTTTATCCTTTCTTTACTATTTCTATTGTATAGATGGTTGCTACTTATGTTTTGTTAGTAGAAATGGTTGTTTTCGGTCACATACATGACTCAATAGAGACAGAGAAGTAGTCTGGCTGAAAGTGATTTCAATACTTTATTTTAAAGACGACCGTACTGCACAGCCTATACAATATTCTGCAGAGTAGTTTATAAGCCACTGACCAGTTGTTTGAAAAGGATTGAATGCGTACAATTATCCTGATACGTACATTGTAGCATTTAGGCAAACCTGAAACCCTACAAAATGGAGGTCATTCATTTTATTAAGCAGCAGATTTCCAGCCCTAATGCATGTGTTCGAACGCAACATTTTTCACAAAAGTAAGGCCTCCCTTCTCGTGTATATTGTGGGTATCAAACGATGCAGTTTGGTGTGTCGAAAAAAGCTTAAAAACACTAAAGCACACAGCGCACAAGGCTGTTGTTAGCCATCTTAGACAAGACAGATTACGATGCAAAAATGCTATCACTACTAGAGGACAAGTCAACATACGAAAGCCTTAGTACGGACCCCACCAAAACACAAAATGCAAAGATTGAAAAAGTACTTAAACGTCTTACAGAGAAGAAATAAATATCATGAGATATTGCAAAGTCCCTGAGACAAACCGAACCAAACATAGCTAAAATCTA